GGAGTTGTGCATCGCATTCACAAGTGAAGTTCTGCGAACATGTAGTGTTATGTTGAGGCAATGTATTTTGTTCATCGCGAATGCGATGCTTCTTCCGCGTTCGCGAATTGTATCCCTGGAGCAGTGTTATAAAGTAATCTATTTCGGACCTTGAGCTCATTTTATCACATTTTGAGTTGGGGAGCTCGGATTTGGGCAATTTCGGAAAGGCTTTTCTCACACTGATTGTGGTAAGTATTTTTTAGTCGGCTTTGATTATATTCCATGATACCATCTTCAATTTTGGCATTTGATTGATGATTTTGAAAGAGAAATTGGGGGGTTTTGTCTCAACTTTTTCTAAAGTGAATAATTGGATTTTGAACACTGATTCAGAGTAGGATTTAAGTGATATTAGTATGGTTGGACTCATAATCAAATAGATTATCGGAATTGATGAGCTTTGTCGGGTTCCGAGGTGGGGGCCCGGGATTGACTTTTTTGTTGACTTTTAGATTTTAGTTAAAGATCTTAACTCTATTGATCGGAATTAGTTTTTCTTGCATTGTTTATTAACATTGAGTCATTTTTGGCTAGATTTGAGCCGAGCGGAGGTGAATTTTAAAAGAAAAGCTATTTTGAGTGTTAATTTGTCTAATTGAGGTAAGTATCTTGCCTAACTTTGTTTGTGGGAAACTACCCCTTAGGATTTGGGTTTGATTGTGCTATTTGAATTATGTGGAAGACGTGTACACGAGGTGACAGTGTGTACACGGGCATATATGTGATATTTTACTAGTTTAGATTCTTAGGTTACGTATAAGCACTTAATTGAAGTTATTATATTATTTGCTCTATCTTTCGTTGCCAATTATATCCTTACATGCCTTAATTGCAGTTGTTATTACATGTTCTAGTTTTCATTGTCAAAGTTACTCTTATATGCATTTATTTGTTGTTGTTGTTACATGATATCCTCCCCATTGTTCAGTTAATCTCATGCATTTAGTCACAGTTGCTATTTCATGCTATCCCCTTCATTGCTAAACTTATGTTACGCACCTGAATTGGAAGTTGACATTTCACGGGAATACCTTCATTGTTGAGTTATTGAGGTTGTAGTTGTGATAGTTATTAACACATTGTGGTTCAAGTGTTTTTTATTGGGACATCCTTCCTTGTTGAGTTGTTTCTCATTCATTTTGTTATTTTTGAGATTCTTGTACACATTGTGGTTGAGCCGTGGGCTATGTTATGGTAACATTGGTATTGTTGATTTTGGCAATGTTGTGGCATAAGGGCACGTGTGGTGCGAGTTGATTATTGTGTTGTGATATTGATGCGCATGCGGCGGTATAAGGATAGGAGTTGATGTGCATGTGATGCGATAAGGTGGTATTTATACGCGTGTTGCTAGTAGGGAATTACTTGAAGCCACGCGGTGAGATAAGGGGGCTAAAGCGCGTATAGCTATTTTGGGAAAAATATATTTAAAAATAAAAGCAAGGCTCACACGGCGATATAAGAAAGATTGTGATTGTGACTTTTGAAATGTGATTACGAGGTGTGGTACCTCGGTTGTGATTCTTATTGTACATTCTATGTTGGAACGACCCGTTGATTGAATGGTTATTATTTTTTTTTCCTTAAATCATTTCACTTGTATTTAGTTTGTTATTGGTTATTTGTTGTTATTCTTTTGTAAGGACAATTGTGACTTCTTGTGTAAGTCATGCATTCTATGTGATTTGTTGTCTTTCTTCAATGTAGCAATTGGTGCCTCCGTTCTTACTTGGTGAATTGATTATCAAGATGAATTTACTTGCATAGAGTCATTATCTCATATTCTGTTGACTTGTTGGTAACATAACATTTTTAAATAAAAGTATTATTAACATGCTTTATTTTATGTGTCTCTTAAGATAGAACTCGTTATCTCACTTAGTGCTTTACTATTTTAAGTGATTATCACACTTTACTTTATTTGGGTTCTCAAATTAAACGCATCACCCTATTTGATGTTTTACTTTATTTAAAATTCTAATCACGCTTTACTTTAGCAAATTCTATATTTATTTCGTTAACTTATCTGATGTTTTACTTATTTTAAAAACGTTATTTTCCTTTACCCTATTGATTTCCAAAATAAACTCATTTGATACTCTGATTTGTATAAATTATACTTTATTTTGCTTTACTTAGTTTCTTGAATAAACCCATTATCGCATTTGACGCTTTATTTTATTCAAGATTGTTATTATGTTTTATTGTATTTAAATATATCTCTCAAATATTTTTATTGATATTTGACATGGATACTATATATGTACATGGTAGCATGTGGGCCTTGCCATGCGAAAGTGATTATTATTGTGCGTACGAGGTGCCATATGTAAAAGATTTGGAATTGTGGCTCATGATTTATGGTTACGAGGTGTGGTGCCTCGGGGTAATTCTTGTTGTAAGTCATGTGTTGGGAACAATTTGATTACTTGAATTGTCATATGTTTCCTTAATTGAGTTCATTCATATTTCATCTGTGTTCTGAATATGTTGCTGCTTCATTACTCGTTTACGTCTTGTTGCCAATTGTGTTTCTATTATTCCTTATTGGTTTTATATTAATAATCTTTACGTTGTTAGCTTTACATTGATTCTTTCCATTGCTAGCTTTATGTTAATATCTTGCACATGTTTTATGTCTAGTGAGTATGTCGACTTACCTCATCACTACTCCACCAAGGTTAGTCTTGATACTTACTTGGTACCGCTGTGGTGTACTCATGCTATGCTTCTTCACACTTTTGTGCAGATCCAGGTACTTCTGATCGTGTTATTTTTGAGAGTTCCGTCTGCGCGGCTGGAGACTTCAAGGTGTACATGCTTGACGTTCGCAGTCCTCAGAGTCACCTTCGGATATTAACTTTACTGTTGTTTATCTTCCTGTTGGAATAGTATTGTATTTAGAAATTCTAGTGTATGTCAGTAGAGCTTATGACTCTATACTACCGGTCCTGGATTGTATACATTTGTTCAGTTTTAGTTATGTTATTTTATTTATCAGTTTAAGTTTTATATAGTTAAGTTGGTTATCTCTGTTAGATCTCCTCATGTGTTTAAGCTTACCTAGTCTTACAGACTAGGTGCCATCACGATTTATAAGGTGGGATTTTGGGTAGTGACAAGTTAGTATTGGAGCTCTAGGTTCATAGGTACTACGAGTCATAAGCAAGTTAAGTAGTGTCTTGCGGATCGGTACGGAGACGTCTGTACTTATCTTCGAGAGGCTATGGAACTATTAAGAAATTCTACTTCTATCATTCCTTATTGTGTGTATTGATTCATCTTTAAGCACATATCTTACATTCCCTTGCATCCACTCGTATACGATATTGCGCACTCGATATTAGTTACGCACCGACAGTTTGTGATGCTACGGATGGGCTACGAGAGGGGACCATGGATGCTCGATCATTGTCTCAACGTGTTTTCCAGACTGAGAACGGGGATGTATTGATATATCTTTTAATTGTTCACGTGCGGGGTGCAGCGGGTTCTGGTATCGGGTTGGTGAGTACAATCTTGGGAAGATTTAATCGATTGCCTAGTCGTCGTGATTGTGGTAGGGTCATGAGAGGATGTTGATTTGAGGATAGTTGGTGGTATTAGAGACTATGTGTTTTGTATGGGACTTCTATTCAGAGAAAGGTACATATTGTCATTAAAGGCACTTGATGAAACGGGCTTGACTATCACGAGGATGGGAATGCGCTTAGTATATGATTTGAGGTATCTAATGATTGGTGTTGTATGAGCTATGAAGGTTGGTATTGTGGATCATCGTGTAATGTCCAATGGCTTCGCGCCAAGTGGGGGAGTCTACTAGCGACGATCAGGTTACATGGTCATGTGTTATATCAGTTTTGGTGACAATATGTAACAGAAAAGTTTAGCCAACATACCTTGCTTGAGCTTTCCTTAAGTTACTACAACGTCCCAACACTTCTAGTAACATCAATCTATATGAAGATAACGAAAATCGAATAATAATTTGATGGATTCCCATGATGTAACTCTCTTAGGAATTTTGTTAAACACCTAGTATGCAAAATAGACTACAAGGCTCTACAATGGTAATCCCTTCCTCCCTCAACCAATTTCAACAAGAAACTACCCAAAATGGTTCATTAACCCCATATACTACAACCTATTGTCACATGCATGGCCTATTTTCATCCCCACAATATACACTACAACAAAAATGGACTTTAGCGGCAATACAAAATGCTTTAGCGGCAATAACAATAGCCACTATATCTTTTACCGGCCATTAGTGTTTCGCCGTTGAAGCAGGGTCGGCAAAGCCTTTAGCGGCTATTTTTACAAAAGCGGGTAAAATATGGTTTATTGTCGCTAAATATTATTATCTTTAACGACAATTGTTTACGGCAATTATAATGGATACTAAATCCAGTCCATAACGGCTAATTATACTCCTTTAGCATCCATTTTTATAGACGCTAAAGTCAAAATAATTGCCGCTAGAAGTTCACATCTTTAACGACAATTGTTTGTGGCAATTATAATGGCTACTAAATCCAATCCATATCGATTAATTACACTCCTTTAGTATCCATTTTTATATCCGCTAAATTAAAAATAACTAAAAGTTCGCATCTTTAACGGCAATTATTTTGTGGCAATTAAAATGGGCATAGTATCCCTTCTGAAAACATCTTAGTTTGCCGTTTTAGCATCCATTTTAGTGGCTAATATGTTTAACTAAATTGCCGCTAAAAGTCAATATCTCTAACGGTAATTATTTTACAGTAATTATAACGGCTGCAATATCCCTTGTGAAAACATCTTAATTTGCCCCTTTATCGTCCATTTATATAGCTGGTATATCCAACTAAATTTGCGCTAAAAGTCACAAGCGGTAATAGCAATAGTGTAGCCACCATTAATAATAGTTACTACATTCATCCATAATATGACCCAAATAAGAAAATATATTAATATTAATTCAAAAGAAATATAATATATCTCATTAAATCTTAACAAACATAAGGAAGTACTAATATTGATGGCATAGTAACTAAACTTACATTGTTTGAACTAAATAGCTAATGTCATTATATAACTAATTCAGACGAATAATGGTATTCAAATGATTTCCGCAACTTTTCATCATTTTGAAATCTCCCACCTGCTAAATTATCGAACATCAAACCGTATGATCTGAAATTATAAAATAACTGTGTCAGAAGATAAAATACAATGTGAAAAAACATCTTGAAGATTCAATCACTGTCACAATTCATAAACAAGTCATTGTGTGCAATTGGGATGTCATTTCTGCAATAGCCTCTAAGACAACTCACATTCCATACAAGTATTTCTCCTTTCATTTGTGCATGTGATAACCACTTACTACTATCTTTCCTTAAGATAACATTGGCCCCTGTACAACAGGAATTCAAAGCTCACTCATATGCAGCAGAATTCCCTGGGTAAGACTCTTTAAAGCATATGTATCATCACTTATCAGATAATTCTGAATTTTGTGAACCTTAAAAATATTAAGCCATCAGTTTAAATTCCAAATGAACCTGGTGAAACAGCAAATTAATCCTCTCAACACGATTGTTAATCATTTTCTTAAATTAACTGAAATATCTCATGTTATAGATATATGGATCTATGGAAGATTCTATAGTGTAGAAGTATAAAATTGATGTAATTTCCTATCAGCTCTTGTTACAAAATGCTGTAGAAAATTCCGGTGAATCATGGAAGATAATTTACAAGACTAAAGCACCACCTAACATGTTAACTTGAGATGATTTTATATTGCCAAGTTGGTGTCTCAATTTTTTTTTTTTAAAAAGCAAATAATTGGTGAGAACAACTAGACAAGGCACGGGTATCTTACCAAATAATGGAGCAAGCTACTGCAACTGTTCAAAATGCACAGAACTATGAAAATGCAGTCTATTATGTCTGCTCCTTGACTAGATTTTGCTCCCATAAATAATGAAATATTATTTTGTCCTATGATAGCAGATTCTTAAGATAGTGGTACTGAGGACCACAAAATAATAATGATACTGCTTTAGTGCTCAGGCTTGTAAAAGATATATTTGTTTTTTACAATGATTCGGAGGAAAGACTTGACTCAGAACGTAGCATAGGAGTAGTTGTAAATAACATATTTGTGTTTTTAATGATACCTGTTGTGAAGAGCCTGCCCAGCAACATGTGGAAAAGGTTTGTAATCAATTCAATCTTGGCTCTTCAGTCTCCTTTGGCACAAGAGTTCTCAAACAGAAAATTAAGAAGCTGGATATAAACATATACTATGATATATTTGAATTGTAAGCATACAACACTTTTTTTCTACACAAATTCATAGCATAGAGAATTGAGGTTATACTTTTTTTATAGCCACTTATTGGTGGTTTTATATAGGGAAACAAATAAAGGAAACTAATTGTGACTGCATTAATTAAGTAGTATACTTTGCATCAGCTTGTAAAATAAGAGAAGTATAATTATGTGGATATAATTTTAGCAGCCCGCCAGCAAGTATTAGTGATTGGATTCATGCATTAGACATAATCCTTATAAGAGCATCTACATTTTCACCTACATATTATTCAGGACACTTCGAAAGCTTCAGACACTCATAAAACTGCAAAAATTCTATACCTTCCCAATGGCTGAGAACTACCACACAAAAAACCATGACCAAAATGGTGTTCAAGATGCTTAAGTGGCTGTCCTAATGGTGTCACTTTCAGCACAAGGTCATCTCAACCAGTTTCTCTACCTTCCTAGGCTTATCTCCTCGTATAATATCCCGGTACACTATGTTGGAGGAACCACTCATATTCGCAAGGCTAAGTTTCGTGTCCATGGTTTTGACCCTCTCACAGCTAAAAACCTATATTTTCATGAATTCCCTACACCACCTTTTGAAAATCCCCCTCTAAATCCTAATGCTTCTTATAAGTTTCCTAACAAATTAATCCCTTCATTTTATGCAGCAATACATCTCCGCGAGCCAGTGTGCTCACAATGTTGTTTAACTCATGATAGGCCCCAGAGAAGAGGCTTCAACTACTAGGTATATATTGTTGAGACGGAAACCAACAGTGAGAAAAGGAAATATATAAAAGCAAGAAGCATTCAAGTAAGCCCAAATACAACAACAAATTAATAAAAATCAAATGAGGAAAACTCAAAGATGAGTAGTACCGTGAGAAGGTTGAGCATTTTCAGCAATACTAGGTATCCTTGATGTTTGTGGTACTCGTTCATGTCCAATGTTGGCGTCAGGGATCTAATAAATATTAACATGTTAGATAACAATACTTTTATATGATTAACATTTCATTAAAAATGTCTAAAGCTTATGTAATGGAGTTACCTGTTCACATGAGGTGTCATTGCTACTTTGAGTCATAGATAAATTAGGAGCATATTTGTGTATGAATTGTCTCATTTGGAGTAATTCTGATTGCATCTTCTCCTGATTTTGTTTCATCATATTCATTTCTTCATTTTGTTTCTCCTTTAACTTTAACTTGACTATCTCCTGTTCTAACATTTGTATAACCTCATTAGAAGAATCATCTGCAACAATATTTCCTAAGGAAGACCTACTACCCCATAGAACAGAAGGAGTTGGACCAAGTCCTAAACAACGAACATACCCACTTTTGTCATTTTCGAATACTTGAGAATACACATCGCCTTTCCAAGCAACACTGTGAGGAGGTTGGTCAGTAGAGCTCTCACTATTGCTCATCCTTTCATTTACCATTCCTAACAATAAAATACACAATAAATCCAATTTGGAATTCATTTATTCGCTTTTAAGTTTTTTTCCCCTAACTATTTCACAATTTAGAAATTTAATGAAAAAAGAAATCTTACGATTGCCTTAATAGAATGATCATCCAGTGGTCTACCATCCTTACGTTTTGTATGAGTTTATATGAAAATTTGTGCTTGTGTAGGCACTATCCCATTTACAGCCTAATACAATAAAATTGATGTAAGATATGCGTGAAAAAAGGATTTTAAAATATTTTAGTTAGTAATTTTATAGATTTACCTGCTCATCCAGCAAGGTAGCAATACTCTTGGATGCTCTTGTGTGGGGCATCATTTGATTGGCCCTATTGTTTCGATTTGCTTGGGTACGCCTATGTCATTAAAATATTAAAAGAATATCTTATAAATTATAAATAAAAATTGAGCATAACTAAAATCAGAACACTGAAAATAATCAACTAGGGGTGTTTTAAAGATTTGTTGATACCTTAGCTTTATCCGAATTATTAAACTCCCCTTGTCCTCTCTTCTCCTCTGCTCCAAGCCTTAGGTGTCAATCTTCTTCTTGTTGTCCAATATCGTAACACAAGGTATAGGCAAGACTATGTTGGTTGCCAGAGAAATTGGTTCAGGTATTGCTATCCAATGCGGAGCTGGCTCGACTAAGCAAGGATCTAGTATGTAGTTTTTTCCTATGATATGTACCTGTGACTCATCATTCATCCTGCTGATTAGTTCTATCAATTATGCAGGCAATATTACGATGTGATCTGCCATCCTACATGGTTCCTTTTGCCCCTGATGACTTGATATTTGAGAAACCAGAGATGAGTCAATATTAATATGAAGTAGCTTTTCCTCTAGAAATTCACTTTATGGCAGACCATGTTTGTAAGCAATCCTAAGATATGCAGTAACATGCTAGGCTCATTGAATCAGTCCTGCACTATATAATTCCTTTTGGTCATATAAAACATCAGGAGGCTACCCAAATTAAGCTTACGGTTTACAAGACACTAGAGAAGAATTTCTCCCACTAAATAAATTTCAACTATGAAAGGCTACCCACAAGCTCTCTTTTCAAAAATGGGAATTGAGATGTTTTGTGGCTTTGCTATGCCAATTTTGCACATACTGACAACAGTGTTAAATAGAAATATGCGCAAGTAGCAAGTTTATCAGCAGTATTGACGGCTCACTTAGATACATCACAAAAAAAATAGGAACTAACAAACACACAAGTGTTTATAGAAAATGCTTCACTGTGTTTAAAAGTTTTCCTACTTACTAAAACCAGACAATTCATGGAGGATTAACAGGCCAAGGGACAAAGAAAAATGGAGTTGTGCTCCCTCATTTTTTGGAAGCTTAACTGTTTATACCTAGTCAATCCAACACTAGGATCAACTTCTTTATTTGGTGATCACTATGGGAATGACCTTACATCATGTAATTTTTGCTAACTTAATAACTCCGCAAGCTATAAGTACAAAAATCAAAAATAAAATCAAGTAACCAAACGTATGCTACAAATGTAACATCCAGCTATTACCCAACTTGAATCTGTGTGGTGCTAAGTTAAAGGAAACTAAAAGCTGCAACTAACTTTATTTTTACAACCTTTACATGTTAAGAACTTCTTTCCTACTGAAGATAGTTTCAATTTGATGATCTCTAACTTGAACAGAATAGACTGAATGCAGAGAAAATCGTATAGCTCATTTCAACTAATTGTATTTTACAGCGTAGTAAATGAATAATAACATGGAAAACCTTTAAGTTATCCAGATTGTTGCTCCATGCGTAAGATCCTATTTACACTGAAAGTAACAAATAACAGCAAACTTAAGATATCCCATCATTGGCATTAGATTACTACTACTAGTTTACTTAGCAATGAGAAGAGCTGCAACTAGTAACTTAGGAACTATATTGTTACCTACTGCATATGGATCAGATTTGCAACTATACATTGTGGTACAAAATCCTACTGGATAAAGGCAGTTGAAACTGCAGCCGTAATATAAGTTTCAGATACCCAGACAACAGTGATAGGGGATATGCAATTTACCACCAGAAGTGAGGAAATAAGATTTTCTTGTATGCAACATTGATATAGAAAGTACAGATTGGTACCTAGTAAGAAGAATCTTCACCGATAAAGACAAGAAAGTGAAGGAGAATAATGATTTCTGCAGCAATCTTGAAACCTTCACGAAAAGAGAAGTTGAAGATAGATGAAAGGGAGAATATTGACAGGGATGATTGAGCATAATCGAGCAGATTTGGGGAAGATCTGATATATATTGAAGAAAACATGCAAACAGACAAATTAAGTTAAGGGTATTCTCTTTTCTTCTTTAAGTTGTCGAAGTCTATAATCTATATTGTTGTAATGTTTTCTTCTTTGCATTTATAACAAGGAAAATAACATATAACTTGAATCCGTTTTCCATGAAGGGGACGGATTTTGGGAGAAAGTTCAAACGATATCAACCTATTTGCCATAATACTGGAAGTAGTGAATCAATATGGCATCACAACAAGACAAGAAAGTCAAAAGCATGACTAATTCAACTCGGCATTAATCGTTATATGCCCCTAAAGTCCAAATAGTAGATACCGCCTTCAAGTTGCAACCCATTGACGTATGTAACTTATGTACTGATATTGATTTATTAGTAGTCATGACGGAATTCTTCTTATCTTAAACTCCGATATATTCATGCTCCGTAAATCAGAGCTCTCATTCTTAGCTAATTTGGGGAAGATTTTGCAAAATTTTGCAGATTTGGGGAAGACAGATGAGAGTGAGAACATTGACAACAGATTTCGCAAAATTTACCTGGGGAAGAAGAGAAAGTTACCTGGGATTTGATAAGAAGATCGTCGGAGCTGTGGCAGAGCGGAGACTGTCTCAGGCCGCGACGATTTTGTTAACCAGAGACTGTTAACTGGCGCGATTTTGCAGGCCGGAGAATGTCGAAAGGGAATAGGTTTTGTTATCTTTTTTCCTTTTTTGGCAAAATTCGTATTGGCAGAAGGGAAAATGTTTCTTTTTTCTAATTGGAGGGAATGCTTAATTCTTGTCCAAAATATTGGAGGGAAGATTTTATTTTGGTTTCGGTTAATGATTTTTAGTGGCAATTGTTTTTAGTGTCACTAAAGAATATCTTTTACTGGCAATGGTCATATACCGCTAATATTTCAGCTTAAAGAATCCATTAACGATAATTACTTTATTGCTCCTAAATAATTGCCGCCAAAGGATTTTTTTGTAGTAGTGATACTTGAACTCATAACCTCTTGCATGAAAGCCTAGGAGTAGGACTTACCTGGATAGATGATAATCTAGTGATTAGTTTCTTTGATTCTTGAAGATTGGTGCCAAAATGGGTGATTAGAATGCTAGATTTTCTCCTTCTCTCTCTAAAATACTCTTACCTCTCTATAAAATCATCAGACATTCGCTTCAAAATGAGCCCCCAAGGCTATCTATCAAAATGGGGTCGGGTTATAAAAATAAGAAAATAGACCCTCCGAACTCAGGTCTGCGGTTGTAGAATGGACCGCAGAACAGATAGGCGGCCAATAAAATGTGCCGCAAAAGTGATGCCAAAAACTGGAATGGTCTGAAAAGGTCTGCGGTCCACACACCACTTATGCGGCCGTAGAATGGACCGCAAAATCGCCCAACAAAATTACTCGTGCTAACTCTGCGACAAAAGTGCGAACCACAAAACAGGTATGCGATCGCATAATGGACCACGAAACAACCTTCGAAATTCAACTATTTTTCTGCTCGACTCTGCGATGGGTATGCGGCCCGCGGAATGGTTCTGCGGTCGCGAAACAGGACTTTTCCATCAACTCCTCAGTGTCTCCTTCAGAACCTCAAATTCCTTGGCGAAATTCTACAGGGCCTTACTTCCTCTCCCACATAGGATTATTCGTCCTCGAATGAGGAGTAGAGTCCACCCAACATAGTTCATCTCTTCTTCCACACATCACAAGTCCCCAAATTTGACTAACCCCCAAATTTTTCAGAAATTTCAGCAGAGTCTCCCCTGTATTGGGCCTAACTACCTGCCAAAGAATCATCAAAACCACTCCTAAAAACACATCTGCAACCCAACAAAGCTTCACAATATATCAATAACACAAATCTCAACATAACCGACATTACATTATCAAAAGTGGTACCTTGATATGAACTGTACATATTTTAAGTCATAACCCATAGAGAGTACCTTTCGAACCACAACTATTTGGCTATACAAACAAGTGAGACTGTCTTCTTTCCACAACACTCTCGGCCTTCGAGGTGACCTCCTCGACTCATAGACTTGGCCATAGTACTTTGACGGAGGCAATTTCAATTTTCGAACTTATCTAACAAGGATGACAATTAGGTACCTCCCATAAGCTAATTACCCATTAGCTTCACCTTCAGTGGCTTCACCGGAATGATAGACAAAGGATTTCCAACTAGCTTCTTTGAAATAGACACATGAAGCACCGGGTGCATAGAGGACAAGGATGGGAAACGTCATACTCATAGTTTGGCCTATTTCTCTCAAGATTCCATAAGGCCCAATGTGTACTACACCGACTTTACCTATATTATCAATTCACATAATATCTTCATGGAGAAAATCTGAAGAATAACCCGTTCACTTTCTTCAACTCTAAATCTCTATGTCGAACACCCGAATTGGACCCTTGGCGACCTTCAACCCCCTCCTCCTCCTTATACTACGATGTGACTGAATGAATAAGACCATGGGATTTCCTACCAGAATATGTTTGATAATGGAATGATTCTTCTTCTTTGGTATGTGTGAAATTACAACTCTCTAGAGATCTACTACAAATAGGAACATGGAGGTCCGAGTTTGAGCTGGAAATGTTCATGAATCCACCAGGGTACTGAGCAGGGCATTTCATGAGGTTATATTCTAAGAGACATGCGGGTGACCACCAATAGCTCTGACATGGTTAATCATCGATTCAACAAATAAGGCATAGAGTTATCTAAAACACATTGATAATGTGGGAACCATGTACGTGATCCTAAGACGTAAAAGAAGTGGGTCATTTTAGACATGTGATATATGGGAGGCATGATCGGGAGGATAAAGACCTTAGCATAAGGTACCTCGGTACCACAAAACCTCAAATTCCTTGGCGAAATTCTACGGGGCCTTACATTAATGGTTTATGATAAATGATTAAATAGTTCAATCGTGTTAGTAAATCAGCATGTGTTAGGCTTACCTAATCTTAGAGACTAGGTTCCATCACGACATCCTATGGTGGGAAATTGGTGTCGTGATAAGTTGGTATAAGAGCTCTAGGTTCATAGGTGCTATGAGTCATAAGCAAATATAGTAGAGTCTTGCGGATCGGTACAAAAATGTCTGTACTTAGCTTCGAGAGGCTACAAAACTATTAGGATCTACTCCTTTCATTCCTTATCGTACAACATTGATTAAGTTTGAAGCATATATGTTATATCCCTTTACATCCACTTGTATATGATGTTGCGCGCTCGGTATCAACTATGCTCCGACGGTTTGTAATGTTGTGGATGGGCTTCGATGGGGCCATAGATGCTCGATCATTGTCTCGAGGTATTGTCCAGACTAAGGACATGAACGTGTTGGTAGATTTTCAGTTGTTTAAGTGTGGGATGCAACTAGTTCGTGTATCTGATTGGTGCTGTATGAGCTTATGAATGTTGGTAATGTGGATCATCGGATGTTGTGCCCTGACTCTGTGCCAAGTGGGGGAGTCTACTATTGACGATCAGATTGAATGGACAAGTGCTATATCAGTCTTGGGTATATGGTATAAATGCAGTGTTGAGGGGTTCTCGGGAATTGTACATGACTAAGATCTGAGATTTTCATGGGATGGTGTTGGAACTTGCGATATATTTATATCATTATTAAATCTAGATTCCAATATCAGAGAGGTTAGAGAAACATATTCAGATTCATAGAAAGTCTCTTCAGAGTGGGTATCCCAGTTGTTGCATTGTTGGGGTGCTCTAGAGGAAATACATCGGTTTATGGGTTTTCAGACGACGTGGTTTGTGCTAGGGTCTTCCGCAGCGAGATTTGACTTAGGATCATCATGTACCAATAAGGGAAAATGTTGACCTGAAGGCAAGTCGAGGAGGATTAGAAGAAATGGGTCAGCTCGGTGGTTTTGGGTCAGCATATCAACAAAGGTAACTGGTCTTTTGGTGTTGTACTGTTTCACCAGCGTTATATGGCAATGCTCTTAGGTTTGACGGCTTGTGTGATTTGGTTGAGTTGGGGAAGTTCAGTTCTGATGGCTTAGTGATGTGCGGACTGGCCTCGAAGAGTTCTTGATAGTGGAGACCACAACTTGAGCTAGATGTCTGCTACCGGTATAAGGAACATGTTGCGTGTTATGATTTTTGCCTGGATGGGGTCGCGAGTTCTAGACAACATGGACAATTTCAGATGTTTAGAAGAATGCTAGCATTATTTGATACCACCTAAGAAGGGTTTGCACTCCAGAAGGCACATTTTGTTCCGACTTGCAGATGCATGACTGGTATTACGGTAATCGCCTGGTTGATCGACTGCTAATGTCCAGATTTTGCTTTGTGGCATGAAAGAATTATAGAAGTAATTCTCGTGGGTTGACCATATGTAAGAAATGTGTCAGTTATTTGAGTATTGTAGTTGTGATTAGATATGGAGATTATAGTATTCTAGGGATTTGAAGACTAAGAGGGTTCTCGAGGCAGATTGTTCTATGGTTGTGAACGGTGAAGGTATGTTAAGAGTTGGAAACTAATGGTATGTACTACAGATATGTTATTGTGGGATTTTCGGAGTATATCTACCTACTTTGGAAGGATCTAAATTGATTTGAAGGCTACTAGTAGGTCTAATAAGGATGTGTGTTCTAAATCAGGTAAGATTTATCTACTCAGCATAGTTATTGTGGAGGGGTATGTTATCGGTTAGGGTGGATCATATTCGTGTTCTGATATGTCTCATGTGTTACTCTCCTATGCTGCGATGAGTTGTGATCTATTGGTTATCTGCACAGCGATGCGGTTATGATTGGGCCTTGTAGCAAAATTTGAGCGAGATTACTCTTGGGATGTTGAATGATTGATTATGCCTTGGTTATGGTCTTCCTGTGTTCTGTTATATAGTGATATCGATATCTCCATAGTTATGGTCACGTGCTTCATGTGTTTGATGTTGATATGCTTATGGTTGTTGATTGTGAGTATCATGGATTGACGTATTCTAGGTGGACCGGTGTCGGATTGGGTCATGCATCGCAGTGACGTTATGCTAGGATATGATCCTTTTTGCTTATGTCATGTGTTATATTTCCCTTTGTGTGGTGGATTGATAGCATTACGCTTTGAGGTGGTATCTATTGAGCTGGCGGGATGGTTTCTTCATTTCCATTCTCCTTCCATCATTGGGTATATTTGAGTTATTGATCGTTAGGGCATGGATTGCATGGTATGTGGCTCTAAGTTGGATTTGTGTGACAGGCCGATCGAGTAGCTTGTACTGGATGAGGTGAGGTTATTGGGCTTGAAATGAGTGCCATTGGATTTGATTAAGGTATGTTTGCAAGAATTGTGTCACTAGTCGGCTTAGATTTTGGCTATGGTTCTTATCGGGAAAGAGAGCTCCACGTCTTGTTAATCTGATGGGTGGTTATGAGTTTCTGTATGTTTCTTTCATCATTGGCCGTATACGAAGGTTCAGAACAAGGTTTTAGTTGATATGAGGTTTGTTACCGGTGTCGGGTTGGTTATCGAGCAGTTATTGCGGTCGCAAGTTATTACTATGAGTATTTGAGTTATGTGGTATATCATGTGATTATGTCATGAGATATGGTTATGGATTGATACAGCTTGTTCAGAGTTATATGGTGTATAGATGCAAGAATCGGGTCATATAATGAGTTCTGAATGTTGGGGATTTGGGTTTAAAGGTTTATGGACTAAGGTTGAAGTAATGATCCTCTGTTAGGTGGTGTTTCCAGGCTTATATGGATTGGGTTGACGTGGGATTATCCATG